AAGCGTGCGAAACGAACGACGGAACGGAACGCGCATGCGCGCGCATTGCAAGCGAAATGAACTGCCTAATGCGTTTGACTCTGTGCTGCGTGTTTTCTTTTGACGACAAGCACCGTTGCGAACGCGGATACGGCGTAAAATCGACGACGAGAGTACCTATTCTACGGAGGCATGTATACACACGTATAGGCCTATCTATTAACGCGAGTCGGGACGTGTAAATTTCTTTGGGTTGCCGCCGGTTTATCCGTTGATCTCCATGCATTCTTCGGCCACTCCGGGAGTCGTGCATCTTCATGCAATCGTGTCTCCACTGTTATCGGTTATCGGCTAACTGACTTCCTTCTTTCGTGGGCATAGGTACTGCGTTACCTTCGGACTCGGTCCCACGAAAGAGTGGGTTAAAAGAATTCTAGGCGCAGGTCTTTCACAAGTCACCACGACGACTTTCTATTTAACTCCGTTTGGAAACGTGCTGGCCTCCGTTTTAGTTAATAAGTCTGTTTTTTTCTTTACTTTTTTTATAGCAATTCAAATGCTAACGGTTGAATTTCGACTAGTGGGTGAGAAGGGCAGCGTTTCTTAAGAATTTTCTGCAGAGACGAGGCTAATTGTATGTGAGAATGAATAAAGATGGAATATGTATATACACGTATAAGAATATTTTAACGTATTATACTATGTATGAAAGAATACTGTGTAAAGACTTTTATGTTTGATGAACTAGAAAAACAATAAATTTGAATGGAATTTATTTATTGAAACAAACACAGTTGAATTTATTATATAAATATATTACATTCCTTTAATTTAACGGTATTAAATTAAATTTAGTTTAATAAGTCTCCAATGAGCCTCGATTTTTTACAAATTTGCATTATTTTCTAAATTTGTGTACACTTTGACTAGTTAAGAAATATTTTTCTTGCAGAAAATAATACTTTACAATGCTCTGAACTTCTTGTGATTTACGAAAGTCTCTATGTATTATCTCCAGAAATTTTTCTTAAGATGATTAGAATAAAAAATAATGGTACAAACAAAATATCTCAAAAATTTGATTGATAAAAGAGAATGTGATTTAGCTAATGCTAATCAAAGATATCTAAAAGAAAAGGACTAAACTATCAGAAATTATTAATGAAAAATAATTAATCAGATACTTATTGAAGAGTAAAAATAGATAAGAGCAAGACAACCATAAGAGTTCCTATAATGCAGGAAAATTAATTTCATGAGAATTCTACCATAAACTGTAGCACTCTATTTTATCTAGTTACGTGGCAGAGCACAAATTCTTAATTTATACAACTTTGACACGTTTCTTCTTCCATTGTACAAGTGCCGTTGCTCTATTGTTGCCTACGTAATCACCGTTACTTTTTACAGTAATCATTTCATTTTACAGCAATCGATATTATTATAAACATCCCTTTAACGCTTCTCCATACCATCTCGCAAATAAACCTTTCTCCCTTTGACCTACCTTCCTTTCCTACCTCCATACAATATTCATCTCCTCCCTTATATTCATTTCCCATAATTACAACTTCCATTATCTTCCTCAAACCATTACTTATGAAATCTTCTTTTATCATCTTACTTCAAGAGACGATAGATAGTCAAGGTACAACTTTACATGCCATTAACCTGTAATTACTTATGAACGGTTCCAGCTCCGTACTAATTACCATTATTTGTTCCTTCTTCCATTCCAAAGTCTAGCAATTAAACAGCTATGGCTTCTAATAATCCATAACGCAACAAAACCGTAATTGAAACACGTTCAATGTCGTTAAGTGCCTTTCAAACATCCAACTGAAGCAAAATTACGTACAGCAGTGCCACAAAGTCGATAACTGTACATCAAATCGAAATTTAAGTCACGGCTTAAATTCCCTTCGCGAATGCCACGTCCCTGATACTCCTGGCCAACAAATTATCCTCGAATTTCCACGGTGAATCGGAAATCAACGAAGAAAAAGGATGGCCATAAAGAGGAGAAGGCGGAGAAAAAGCGATAAAACAAACAATGAGTCAAGTAAATCGGCTGTATGATTTAAGCAACTTTCACCTGTACCCTTCACCACTCTAAATCACCACATAGACTCGTTTACAGGCGAATCCAACATTGCTAACCGGTACTCGTCGTCGAGGTTGGAAAATCCGTATTTAAATCTGTAAATCATAGACTTGGATTCCACCACGGGCTCGAGCATTCAAATTAATTTGCAGCACGCGTTACCGATCTCCTTTCTATCTTATTTCACCGTACGGCAACGCGACCGACACGCTCGATGCCGATTTTTGCGGACATGTCTCTCTTTTTTGTGGCAACCACGTCAAAGAGAAAGGAATCGCTGGCAACAGGCAGAATCTGTTGTATCGAAGGCGGCCACTTAATGCAACGAGGAATGTCGCGTAGGTGCAATATGCGTACATATCTGTAGATGAATAGCTCGTAGGCTAAATAAGCCGAGTGTGATTGGAATATTGAGAAATCTGTCGATTAGGGAAATTGGATTCTTTTCCGATGCAATGATGGTTGCTCACATGGATGTTACGTTACGGGGTGTGGTTTGTAGTGTGGTAGTTCTTTGAAAAGAAGCTAGGTTTAGATCTTGAAATCTATGAAATTAGTTGTTTAAATGAGGTGATGAAATGAAACGAGGTTTAGAGTTTAAAGTGTAATTGTAAGTAGGACTGGTTGGTCAGATGAGGAGGTGAAGCGGAGACCATATTATGGAATTTTTATTTTGCAGATGAAAGTTTGAAGATCTTTGTAATATTTGAGTAACTAAAAGAAATTGAGTGAATTTTTTTTTAAATAATTATCATGAGACAGATTTTAAAGATTCGAGAATTAATTATTTAAATGGGAAGTTTCAAATCATGAAATTTACATTTTGGAACAAATGAAAGTTTTAAGATCTTTATGATATTTGGACAATTGAAAGAAACTGGACGAACTTTTTGGAAATAGCTATTATAATATTTGAATCTTAAATTTTTAGAGTTAAATGTTTAAATGAAAAAATAAAATGAAATTTAAATCGTAGAACTTTTATCTTGAAACAATTGATAAAGAAAACAGATGAAGATTGTTTTGACATTTGGATGACTGAAAAGAACCGAGTACATCTTTTTTTGGAAATAGTTATTACATCATGATACCTAATTTAGTTCTGTACCTATGAGTCAATATAACTGAAAATGAAATTTTTAGTAAATAAAATTGAAAATATGTCGTCGGTATGAAGAACCACTGAGCAATTTCGCCTACAGACTTTCGAAGACAATTGTCTTAGAAAACAAAGCCCACAGGACAAAAATTTTATTTCATAACTTGCATTTACTGTTGGGTAAGAAATAATCTCCTTTTCAGATACATTACTAACTTCATACAACCTAAATGCTCCTTGAAGGCAGTATATTTTAAACTTTAATTCATGTTTTCCAGTTTCTTATAAACATATGTACTTAGAATTAATTACAAAGCTAAACTCGATAATAAAAAATTAAATAAGATAATGAACAAATATAATCAATATTATGATTCATGTATATTCTTTTTTAAAATATACTTTAATCTAATTATACCTAGCTGTATAGTGTTAATACAATATACCACTGCTAAAATAAGTAAACATTATACTGATAATAAAATATTAAAAAGTTGAATATATCAATATATCAATAATATATTTGATATTTGAATTTGTGTAAAATATTTGCCAGTTATTAAAAACGACTATGTTTAATTGATTGTGTAAAAATATAAGAAAGAATTAAGTTTCTTTTTAGGATTAAAATTACCTGCAGTAAGTATTTTGAATATTACAAAATCATCCATTTTTGTTCAATTCAATGAGTTCAATAATTACTTCTAAACATTTCTTCGCAAAACATTATCATAATCATCAACGATAAGTTTGTCACAGCTTTCAACATAGAATGACAATTCACATTTATCATTTCACAATATGCCGATATTCTGTGACACACATTATAATATGCTGTTTCAGGCCGCCATATTCCACGGAACAACAGGTGAGAATCTCCATTATAAGTTGAAAGCTGTAACAAATTTATCGTCAATGCATATGGCACCATCTCCTAGAATATGACTTAAGCATGTACTATCCCGTTTATTAAACTTGTCCTAAAACGCATAGCAAAGATATTGAAATTTTCATGACTACTTATTTGAAAAAGAATTTAATTTTATGCTCACTGTTTTCCAAATAATTTCTATGTAAATAATTCTTTTATATTTTTAACAATTTAAAACATAATTCTATATAATATAACATATGACAGTATATATACACATACAAATAACATTACAAATATTTGGAATAATTCTACCTTGGATTCAGTATCCTTTTTACTCTCCTCTAAATCAAATAATATTAAATTATTTCCTTCAGACATCGAATAATTATTTATTCGCTGAATTTATTCTTCCACATTCTGATTTCGCACTTGTTTGAAACGTGCATCGAAAGAAGTCTTCCCGACGCTTTCTCCGGGATATATTAGAAAGTATAGGCTACAAGACCGTAGCTGAAAAACTACAAATACGATTAAATACCATGAACTGCTGTTTAAATAGTTTTCGAAACTTACGATGAACATTATGCCCTGCCAACGTCAATAAAATATCCAAATATATGGAACTTCATACATTTAACAACAAATTGAAATGCAATAAATCAGTTTTATCTGTACAATTACAACCATGAATATTATACAGATTATTAGATCGCAAGACGCTGCTAAAACCTACCAATCTCTAAACGAATGTTTTTAGTAAGGTATCGTCGCGTCTTCGTTAAAAAAATTTCAAAATACAAATAAAATTTCAATTAATTGGAGTAAAAAATTATTGACTGTATAATAATAATTTGTATCATTTGTATTCATTTATATAAATACCGATCGTTCTTCAGTACGATCATAATAATAGCACAAGCGGAACGAAAAGAAAAAGGTCTTACCGACTCCATTCCACAGGCACAGCGCCGCAGTAACGATGGCCAATCTGACAAACATTGCGCTACATTGGTCTATGATTCTATGAAATGTCAACGGAACCGCATTCGACTCGCCGATACGTGGTTCGATATGCTCGAATCGAGCCACGGTAAACCGAAACACTTCGATAGTTGGTCCCGTCGATGTCATCTATCGAACGATTACTCGGTCGGTCGTGTCTATGCAAACACGCATCTGTCATTCGTACAAATGTATGTTATTCTTTTCGTGGCGTTCTGTCGCGTTCTTCATACCAGGTGTCGATTACTCAGTAGATAAAACGGTGCAGGCAGTCGCAGATGGTACACATTCCTCGAATACCGACGAACGTCTTCTTTTTCAAAAATCTTCCAATCAATTTTCACATAGATTTTCGATGAACTCTTTCCACCTGTAGTCAACGGGCACGTTGATACAATAAATCAACCAATTTATCAGCGTAGTCTTCCACTAGTCGAAAACATCGACTCGAAAGTCTCGAAAGCCCGTTCAATTTAGAATCGACGCGACGTATCTGTTGACCGGTCGGAACACGCAAAGCAGCCGTCGACTTTCTCTCGAGTCGGATAATTAACCGGCACAGGTTTTTAGAGCGACCACGAATCGCGGCGAAACACCAATTACGAATGCATTGAACGCGGCTGGTAAACCGTCACTGACGTTAATTTCGAAAAACGGTTGGAATCTCTCGGCCTCGATCGACGCCGTGTTAGGTATCAACGTCAACTTCAAGCTCATCACGATCCTCGTTCACTTTAGCGTAGACAACATTACGCTCCTGTTAAACGATTTTTCGATCACTTTTCACCAACTATGGATTTAAGAAATTGACAGTTCGTTACTGGGAATGATCACTGAACCAAACTGTGGGAACGTGCACCGATTTCGCACATTGTTAAATTAAAATTCATCTCATTTAGAGCCCGTAGCCTCCGCAACGACGATCGCGGACGAAGCACTGACTCTACGTGCGTCGCGACGCGATCTGTTCGCGAGTGCCGCGGCAGCCATGCCGATCAAACTGAAAGAACTTCTACCATTGGCGTAGTCACTGTAAAATCGAGCAGCGCTCGTTCAATTCGATCGACTTTGTCGAGCAGCTTGGCGAAAGTTCGTTTAAATTTGTTACTCATTTCATTTATTTTGCAGTTTCCTTGTTACTTTTACGTTACAAGAATTTTCAATTAAGACATTAGTCGCTTGAGAACATTTTATGAGATTTTATGAAATTAAATCGAATAACTGTGAAATAATCGAAACGTTAATAATTGATAGACTCCGTGGGAAATGAAATGAGTTATTTGACGCAACATGGGTTCTTCTGACATTTCTTTATGTGAGGCTACGCTTTTGACTTACTGTCAGTTCTACAGAATGTGAGAAAACCTCATTGGTTAACTTGCCTTTAGATTCTAACAAACGTATACGCTATATGTATGTAATAACTATTTAAATTTAAAAAGTCATAATCGATTTAAAGCAAATAATTTAATTCAGTGATTGATTTATTATATTCATTGCCTCAAAAGAAAAAAAACGATGTTTTTTACTTGTTACATAAAAAATATATATTTAGGATTACCATTAAATTTAATAACGAAATTTATTGTACATAAATAAAAGATCGATAACACAAAATTTAATTATTTAATAACTATATTAATTATAAAGCGTTTATTTATTAAATAATCGTAATAGTTGTATTTAATAATTACTAAATCTACAATAATTTTTGTTCCATAAAAAAATAACGAATATTTAGAAAATCTGTTCTTAGTCACTTTATTTATTTTATTTGTATTATTATTTATGAATAAGTGCAAATAGTTAAAAATGTAAATTACTTAATTCTATTTCAAAGTACTTTCACTTAATTCTTCCTTAACCTTCTACAATACATCTTAAAAGTTATACAATTTTTTTTTTAATATCATATAATTTAATTTTTCTAAGTAATATGTTCATTAATCAAAAAGATGAGTGGAATTTATATATTAAATATTGTTTTATATGATGTTAATGTTTAAAACAGTACACAAGTTAATACATGCTATATTTTCTGTTACAAGCATGTAGATGAAGATACTATTACTTACAATACAATCCTGCACCTCACGTCGCATGATGTATAAATATATGTATATATATATTTTAAAGATTAATAAAAGTTTATTTGTTATACTAATATGCTAATAATATTACTTATAGGAAATTATTTTCTAGAATATATGTTAATGTTATTTATTGAATATTTGCATATTTTTTGAAATTTTAAAAAATTCAAAGCTTTTCTAATTTTATTTATAATCTTATAACTACGTAATTTTGAAATTGATATTCAATAACAATTACATGCATTTTCGAATGAAGGAAAATAATTCAAAGTTTTATATTTTTTACACCTCTTTACATTTTCCTATTCACTTTTATGTGAATATAGCAATTAAATTTTTACTACTATCAAAACATGTAGATCTATTTTGTTTTATTTTTTGAGAGATATAAACGTAACCTTTTCTAGGCGTTAAAGTCTCAAAATTAATTGGTAACTTTGAGATTTTGTAATGTAATGGAAGTTTCTAAAAATCGACAGAAATATAAACACTATACATGCCTGTGTTTTTCAGTAATGGGGCAAAGAAGATTTAGAGTTTCGGTAATTCATAAGGCTAATTTTATTATACTTTGTGATGAAATTATCATCAGTTGATTATGTTCCATGTATAATATTTTAGTACAAATTGTTTTATTAATCTTTTATTTCTTTATAACATGTGTACAAACATTATAAATATATGCAAACAATATAAATATCAATATAAACTGTATAACAAAAAATTTACTGATTTCTAAATAATTTAACAATTATTGGATATTTTAACAATCACCTCTTTGAGATGGGTGTCCTTATTGCTTCTCCGGAAGCAGGAGATGCATCAGTTAGCATCATATCAGAAATGAAGAAACATTCTGCCATATCTGCTGAATCTTCTAAGAATTTTATTCCCGCAATATCAGAAAGATATAACAATAATCAAAGTGCTTTGATGATTACATCGAATTATAATTCTATTAATAATATGGATAAAGATGCATGCAAACATACAGTTTTAATGGAAAATAGTACTTTTGATAAAATGAGCAGTTCTAGAGTTCATGATAGCTGCCAGTTTCCTTATTATAGGTTACTATTATTATTATTATCTTTTAATGTTTTACATTTCTTATTTTAAACGAAATTTGTAAATGTGCTATACATGAGATGCCATTTTAGTTAAAAAATCTGTGGGTTAAATGCTTAAAATTAAAGAAAAAGAAAGTATAAACTTACCTTCTTCATTTTTATGTAGTATCTTTTAGTTATATTTCAATATAAAATTAATTTATTAATAAAAATGTTTATAGTAGTCCAGATGCAGTTTTAGTAAAGGATGTAGGTATATCATGTATGCTCTTAAATCAAGATATTCCTGAAATACCTATTCCTGAAACAAGAACTCTTGTTAAACATCTTAAAAAGGAATATTATGATTTATCTAATATTACAAATAAAATAACTGCATATACAAAAGATATATTAAATCATTTATCAAAGAAAAATCAAAGGAAACATCAGCTTTTTAAAAATTTGGTATTTAATTTGTAAATAATTTTTATAATTTATAATTATAGAAATGAATTTAAAATATAAAACCCACATACAAGCATTCCTTTTACATATGTTTCATTTAGTAAAAGAAAATATTTAATAACTAAAATATTTTCTTACATATTGTAGGTAGCTTCAAAACATGCAATATCATCTCAATATATTGATAGTAAAGGTAATCTCTGCTTAAAACTGAGGCTTTTTAGTAATGCTGAAACCCAATGTGATGCTCAGGAAAGCACTAATAATTTTAACAATATATTATGTACAGATAAATATGTTTCAAAACAACAGCACAGTAAACATTGTAATTATTATAATTATTTTACAACAAATTTATACAAAAATAAAAATTTATTTTCTTTATTTCTGTATAATTCTTTTAATCTACTTATAAAGTTTATTATTAGCTTCCTTTATGTATACATATATACATATCTAGCAAAAGACCCATTTTTGGAGGAAGATAATCCTGTAATTTATGATAACATAAAATTAAAATATGAGAAAGACGTCCAAACAGCAATTCATCAAAAAAACGCGGAAACAAATACTTCAAATTCAATTTCACCTAGAACCTCTTCAATTTACAATCATTTAATGATGAAGAAGAAAAAAACATCAAGTGGATCATTAAATCCTAAAATTAAAAAATTTAGCGACATGCATAAACATGGACATTCTAAGAGATTCAGTGATAATAAAAGTTGCAAAGATCAATTAAAAAAACGTAATCCAATAATATTTACTAACTGGAAAGAAATTTCAAAATCGAAACAATCTGAAAATAAAACATTATCCATCTTTTCTAATGAATCACAACAAACGGTTTGTTTAATGTTGCATTCTGACAGAAAAATTTACAATGTCATTGCAATTGTGGTACTTCTACTGCTACTTTTTAATTACAGGCAAATATCAAAAATAAAAATATACAAGAAGAATTTATAAATTATAGTACAATTAACAATATATCTAATACAAAATTTCATACAGTTAATATTCGAATTATAAAACAAAGTAAAAGAAATGTATAACTTTTGTATTTTCTATATTTCGATATATTCCTATGTAATAAATATTTTCATACTATTTCGAATTTATAAAACTTTTTTATGAGTTTTCAGTAAATATTTGTCATTTTTAAATAATATTGCTTATACTAGTACTTACTCTGTAAAAACTTTATTACGCAGTACGCATACACATTTGTATGCACATACTCTGTGTCATTTTTACATATACATATGTCAATATTAATGTTTTAATAAAAAAGATATTTATTTTTACCAAAAGGATATGTTGTATGCATATAATGTATAGAAATGTACAATAAGATTTAAAAAGTCCAAGTATAAGTGCAGGTGTATTTAATAAACGAAACATTTGATAAAGCAGTGTAGGTTATGTTTTATGTTTATAAATTTAAAACATACTATATGGAATAATTACTTAAAATTTTTCAGTCACCATATGGATAAAAACAACGAACATGATATGTAATTAGTGTAAACAACGCATCATGTGGAACAGCATAAAAATAAATAATGATATTTATATGATTTCTGTTATACAAAAAGATGATACAACTAAAATCCTTTTAACTAATCTTATTGAAATATGGAAAGAAACATTAACAAAAGAACTTATTTTAGATAGATGCAAGGTAATGAACTACAATATATTTTACAATATTATGTAGATCTAAGTAATTTTAATTTAATATTTTTTAAGATATAAGCGAAAAAGTATGTGTTAAGATTCAGTTTTATTTAATTAAGTTTAATTTGAATGTTTTAGAAATTAAATCCACTTTTATGTGTTGAAGCTCTTGATTATAATGATATATTTAAAATTTTTGATAATATGTCAAAATGTATTGTTGAAGCATCTATAGAACAAATTAAATTACGTATTGAAATAGAAGGTGGTTCAATGAAATTTGCCATAAATTTTATAAAAGGCACCTCTCAAGACTTCTGGGAAATTATAACTAAACCATTATGTATATCATCAATGGAAATTATTCGTCAGCACAAATTTCTTTTAGATTTAATGAAAAAGAAGGATGAAGAAATTGGTGAATATAAAGCAGAGGGTGCTGAGTTAATAAGAAGTATGCTTCCTTTATGTTAATAGTGATATATTATTTTATTTAAAAATAATTTTATGCTTTATTAATTAATATAGAGAATATAGAAACAAAACCTTTTAAAGAAGACCAATTAAAAATAGCAATTCCTACTCCAAATATTGTTGATTGTACAAATGCATTCCAAAGAATGGTGGATTTTTATAATGAACTTAATTTATATAAATGTACTACAACTTCTAGAGAACCTACAAGGTATTACTGAATAGAAAATATTAAAATATATTTTTCTTTTATTTATTTATTTACAATTAAAATATTATTGGTATCACTATGCTAAAATTTGTTATCAGAATTAAAAAATTATGATAAAATTTATAAAACTTGTAATATATTACAGCAGTAATAATAGGAATGATGAAATAGAAAAAATAGAGCAAAATATAACTAGTCCTGTTCAAGGTGATAATAATTGTGCACATGAAATGGAAAATGTTTCTATACCAAGAAATATAGAAACTACACATTCAGAAGATAAAAAACAAAGTAAAGATACAATTAACAAGAAAGTAACTAGTAATAAGAAAGGAACTGCAAATATGGTATATAGGCCTATTAAAAAGTTAAAAAAAGGTTTGAATAATTCTATATTGTAAAATATAGTATTCAAAATATAAGAAAATAATTTTAACATAATATTCAGAGGAAAGAGGAATTGATACAAATTATAATTATTTAAAATTTGTTTTTAATTCTATATTTATTAATTTATATTTCTAGTTCAAATATAAAATTAGAAAAAATGAAATATTCATAGAAAATTTATTTATTTGAATGTAACAATATACTGTATACATTCTATGCATCATATGCATCTTATGAAAATAATATTATTATTTAGTTTTAAAATGCTGTTAGAGAGATAAAATTATGCAAAATTGAACTAATGGAAAAAGAATGCGCAGAAATGAAAAATAACAATGATTTCTAAAATATCCAGGATTGTCACAAATTTAAAACATATATGTTCATATTGACACGATGAAAATAATTTTATATTAAAAAATAAATGTAAAAAAGAAGACATATTTATAGAAGATAATAATAATAATGGTATGGAATATAACAATATAAATTATGACAAAATTAAAAACGAAAGTAGCAAAACAATAGAAAATGTAAATAATGAAAGTGATGAAAGACTTTCGTCTGAGTATTATTGATCATTTTCTATTTGAAAATCATTAAAAAATTATAGCTCTTATTTGACTAGAGCCTGTACATCTATCTAAAATGTTACTTAGATGGAAAAACAGTAAAATAAAAAGGGAAAGGTGTCGAAAGAAAGTAATTACTTCTGTTCTGACTGTAACGATAACCCTGGTTTGTTTTTACGGCAATGTTTTAGGAAGTATCATATTATTATATGATATTTAATGCTGATGTGTTCATATCGATTTTATTTATTATTTTTACTCATAGTTGCACAAAATAGTGAGAATAATTTTCTTATTTGACACATTGTTTTATAACTTTTCATATCTTTTAAATACATATTATTTTCTATTTTAATGTTACCTATTTTTTAAAAAGTATTTATCGAGTATCAATAGTATGTTGAATAGCAAGTGTTGCATATGTTATATGATCATCTGGTTTCAACAAAGCAGTAAAGTTGTTTAAAGCAGTCAAATAATTCTTACATTTAAACTTTGTTACTTCTCATATTTTATTATAAAAGTTTTAACTTATGGAATTTGTATTATAAAACGATCTCTACAAGAATTTGCTCTGATATGAGGTGAGGTGGTAATAATTAAATCAATTTTTATATATATAATATAATGATATATTTAAAATCTTATTAAATAAGACTTGATTATTGTGTATATAACTTTAAATCTTTCCTCTGTATATTATTCCAGTTCCAATATATTCATAAATTTGCTATTCTAATGCAATGAAATTTTATGAAATTTAATGAAATTTTTATTATTTATGTAATAAAATTGCAAATTTGCAATATAAAGCATGAAATGTATCTATAATTCACAAAAATAATTATTTTATTTTTGTAATATTTATACAAACAAAAATATATGTATACAAAGATATGTATATATTATTTATTCATTCCTACCTGCATTCTCTATGTTGTCGTGTTTATTGAATTCTACTTGCTTATGATATCAAACGTAATAGTTCATTACGAATAATAGCTATACTACATTGATAATGAGGAATTAAATAAAATAAAAAAATATTACAAAAAAAACCCTGTAGGGCTCGTCCGGGATTTGAACCCGGGACCTCTCGCACCCTAAGCGAGAATCATACCCCTAGACCAACGAGCCGCTGTATGAAATAATTCTATTAGTAGAAATATCTTGCGTAATGGCGGCTCCGTCGTCATTTCAAAGTATTATCACTCTTCTTGTTTAACGATAATTTTTCATCGTATGTACCGTACGTGCAAGATGGCGGAACGGAGCAAACAAGACTTTAACAGAAGTGCATTGACAGTGCGATGTGGACGGGTAATAAACATATTTTCATTAATATACACTTAAAGTGTTCTGTTAGCGGTGTCTAAATATGTCTATATACAGACTGTTACAAGTGTTTTCAACAACTTAGGCATGGTATACGGGACAACGAGCAGAAAAGATTCCTGGAGGATTAGTGGGTGTTGTTGGTGGTGATTGCACGAGTTTAGATCTATCTTACAATGAACTAACCTCTATCACCGGCGTCAAACACTTCCAGAACCTACAGGAGCTGATACTCGATAATAATAAACTTCGGGATCTAAAGACGTTACCTCGTGTACCGAGTTTGACTACTCTCAGTTTGAATAATAACAAGGTTTGTTCTGTTTGTTTTGCTATTTTTTTGTATCGAAGAATATGTTTTGATGAAGCAAAGTTGTTACAGATGAGACAGAAACGAATTATTTGTCGTATATATAATAAGAAAATTTTAGATTAAATATTTTTTCAGTGATTTTTTAATTACGATATTACACATTCCTTCTTATTTACATATGCAACTTCTCATATTATATCAGGTTTCTGTAGAATACGATACAGGTGTTATCAAAAGTATCCACGCAATGTGGTTATAATAAATGCGTTTATTGATGCAATAATTTAACTACGATATCACATTATATCAATATTAATATTAATTAGTTTTATTTAAATATTATAAAAATAAAAAAGAAACACAAATTATTAGTTTACAAAGGGAGAAATGATTAATATTATTAGAACTTGAAGAATGAAACCTAGAAAAGTGTTAAAGGTGTTATGAAAAAATATTTTTCTTTTAGATTTTAGATTATTGTGTTATACTTAATTATATAAATAAAAATGTGATTCATTTCCGGAGGATTTCAGCTTACGAAATTAAAACAGCATTTACTCAAGGAAAGATAAGAGAAATTTGAAACAGATTTATCGTAAACTGTATGCAGACATTATAAAATATCTATTTTTAGTACCATCATTGTTGGTTTTATCCTGAATTAGTGGATGAACTTCCGCCTGATTTTATTTTTCCGTTGATTTCAATTAAATTCCAACTAAATATAAAAAAGAGAACTTATAATTATCTCCTAAACATTATTTAACGTTTTAATAAAATTTGTGGAATAATTTGAAACGGAGGACACAGGAAGATATACACAATTAAATAAAATACATATTTCTGGACCCATTCAAAAAATGATTTATTTCAACAAATTAATGACACGAAACGTGTGCTATTATTCAAATAGATTATAACTATACATTTTACGTGACACAATACAAGTTTTCCTAATTACATATCCAAATAGCATAGCATTACTGTATAATCGCTCAATAATTATTTCTGCGCTGTCTATTTTTGAGAAAAACAAAAATTAATTTTAAAAAATTCAATAATTTCAATCTAATAAATTTCCGCTATGAAAATTAACAAATCTAAAAAATTAAGAGATAGTCACGCAATAAAATATTATTTAATCACTAGTAAAAAATTACTTTTTAATTCAGTATTAATCTTCTGTGACCCCTTCGTCGTGCGTGCTATCGCATAAGGTATAAATCATTTAAAATAACAGACTCGGATCAAGCAAAAGCAAACAAACAAAAACACATGGTGCATCTGTCCTTGTGTCGTATCGAAAAGATTTGTAATTTATTAACAACTTATCTAATTCTTTTACCTCTTTTTTTATTTCTGATCACGTAACATGTTGCCACCACATCAGAACAATGTAATAACATCTACGTCATAATCGTTTATTGGAAGAAAATAAGAGAACGACAAAAGTTATCATGTTTATAATATGGACCGACAATAGTGATTCTTTAACCATTGCCAAGCTGATAAATCGGAATAGGAGAAACGTTTGCCATCGTCGTTGGGTTAACTGTACACGTCTGGATCAAGAAACTCTTGAAGGAATAGTTCGTGAGTTATTCATCCTGATTGAAATTCCGGACGTGCATCGATGATACCACGTTTGGTATCTTATATCATCGAGGATGTGAATCGGTTCGACGACGATCGTTATGCCGTTCACCTCGTGTCTTTTGTTGCGAATAAGTCGCGATGATGTAACCGGGTCGGGCATTTGCATTTTTCCATCAGCAACAGTGCTCCGCCATAACAAGGAACTATGGGAAAGATCCGTGCGAGTCATATTTTTATGCTAATGCTGCTTTTGATCCACCGAGCGATTCGTTTGGTCGGTGTAATTGGCAATTGAATGTTTTGAAGCTGTTGGTATTTAAGAATTTTGTTATTAGAACTGCAACTTGATTTGGAATCGTGTTCGAATCACAGAATTGGAATTGGAATTATGTTTAGAATTGGAATAGAATTGGGATTATGTTGGAATTATGTTTAGAAATATATCAAATTATGAAATAAATATATATATGAAATTGAAATTGTATTTGGAACTATAGAATTGAAACTTGGAATTTATTTAAAACTACAGAATTGTGATAGAAATTTACATTATATTTAGGACTGCAAAATTGTGATGGAAATTTATATTATATTTAGGACTACAGAATTGTGATGGAAATTTACACTATACGGAATAGAAATTGGAGTTATAGTTTTATCATAGGATTGGAAATGGAATTGAAGTTATATTTAGAACAATAAAATTGGAAATAGGTTTATTTATATTTTGAACTTGTGAGCCTTGATTGTATTATTTTAAGTGATCAGAAGCAAATAATTAATAAATAGAAATAATTAAAGAATGATGATAAATTAATGTAATTATTACCGACCTTCCGTGGATATTAAAGAATATCTACAAGATATTAAATAATATTTTTTGTAGATATTAAGATATTAATTTCACTGTTATTTAATGGTACTGTTACGTACCTTGCCACTGTACTATTATTTAATATAGGTGTATCGTAAGCAATGGTTCGTGATAATTGGATGTAAATGTACTCTTACTGGGTATAATATTTAGAGTAACTTTACGACTGTGTAAATAAAGAGTCTGTTATCAAATGGCTGCAAGTTGTCTGCTCGTATCATAGTATTTTACACTTGCAAATTGTTCTTGTAATCTTACCAAAGAAGATTTTGTAAGACATACTTTTTAAGACATACAGACTGCAATACATTATACCGTGCAATCGATATAAATTAAGATTTTTAATATCTATATTTTTAATATTGAAATGTCTTACTTTTAATTTTAAATATTCTGATTTAAAATGTTCAATTTTGAAATTTGAAATTTGTAAAATATTATAATAATTTCAATGCGTTTTAAAATGCAATTCGATGAATTTTAATCTGTCGAATTAATTCAATGGATTTAAATACGAATTAATAAGTATTATTTCAAATATTCGTTGATTAAATAATTGTATGCATTTGGAAGTTTACTTCAGCTCTTCTAAATTTCCAAGAATTATATTTATCCACATGACTTGTACATTATAAGGCATGCTATTTAATACTATTCATGTAATTCTACATAAACTGCCAAAACTTCGATTTTCTGAAGCTTTTGCAATACTAACCTTCATTAAACAAACTGTATACCTCATTTTCATTGCCATTGTAAATTAATTTTAAGATCCCGAAACATTTCCAAATTTATCCTACATTAAATCTTTTTAATTCCAACTTGCAATGTGTGTCTATTTAAACACAAATATAGCGTTGAAAATAAACAGGGAAATAAATATAACAAAAGTACGCATAAAATTATAGTAAAATTATAATAATTCCTATCTCAATAAAAATTAATAAATTCGGTAAAAAGCAGTTGTCCATTTTCAGTATGTCCAATTGAAGATACAAAAATTCTAAAATTAGTCAATTTTGTTAGCTCTAGTGTTAACCTCTTTGCGACCTCAGACATTTCGCTATCTACATTTATGCATTAGGCTATTCTAATACATACTCGCATATTCCAACCAAGACTTTTGTAAGGTCCCTGTATACTCGCTCACTGTTAGAACATTCGCTGTATTTTATTAACGAAACCTTTCATTTCTTCCATCACATATTTCATTTTAACGAAAACCTGTTTAGATAACAGACATAGACAACGCGTTGAAAAGGATACAGGAGTGTTGTCCGAACATCGTGTACGTGAGCCTGCTCGGCAACCCAGGATGTCCGGATCAGCTGACCAATCCGACGTTAACCGATGACGAGGATTACAATCGTTTCAGACTGTACGCGATATACATGTTACCTTCGACCCTACGGTTCCTCGATTCGCGTCCTGTAACGAGACAAGAGCGAAAGGACGCTGAGAGACGAGGAAAGTACTCGAGGACCGTGAAACCGATGCCGGATTTCTCGCCCAAATTCGTTTCCGACCCGATGGATGACTACGATGATATATTCTTCAACGTTCATTACACACCCTTGCCAAGGTCGATTCGCGATCCTCTTGATCACAAAGGTATGGTTTTGGTATTGTACATTTCATCTATGCTACATAACATCAAAATTTTCTATATTCTATCACATGTAATTATTATTGTTATTATTCTGTCTAAAAGAATTTGGCTTTGACACTTTTATCAGAAGTTGCTATATTCTATCATATTTTATTAATATTTCTTTCTTTCCAGGAGAATTATTTTAAAGGGGATATTAAACAATGATATCGTATAATAATGTTTAATTGGAATGAGTTTGTGTAAAGGAGGAATATCTACAGTACACGATAAAATGATAGCAAATGATAGCAAAATCTATGATTTTCAGTGTTCCTGGAGTAAAAAACAAATTGTTTGATTATAAATCAAATTTGATTTTACAAGGGAAAGTTAGCATTATTCAAACAGGATGATAAAGATATTGGAAAAAAATTATTATCTTTAGAAAAGTTTCGTAAAAATAGCAAAAATCGATATATTTTTATTCGTTTATTTTATAAGCCTATGATGATATGCAAGTAAATAAGTAAAATTTATGGAGAGAAATGTAAACTATGATTAATATTTTTCTGTATTATTAAAGACTGGGCACATCACACGAGTACATATGCAACATATGTCTATATTGCATTAGGTTGAAGAAACACTGACAACTATTATTTTGTCGCGTACTGTATTATGATTTAATCTTTCATCCAGACAAGAGATAAGTGCTTATCTTGTTAAATCAGTCGATTACATGTTTGAACATACTTGTGTTAGAATCACTATTAATATCAATATTTTGTCAAAATAACGTTACAAAATCAACTTCAAAATACATGTAAGTTATATCAGCACTAAATTGATCTAAACTGGTCAGAATGATCGTTTTCAATTTATCGAGTACAATATCATTGTTCAATTCCAGTTCACTATTTTTATACCCTATTTTATACCGTATATCTCATTATCAGAAGATTAAATATTTCCAAATTTTTACCCAAATTTACGTTTAATTACAAATCGAGTTAGAACTCAAACGATTTCTCAATGAAAATATTTTTCTGACACAGGAGCGTTCGGGAAGTGCAAGTACCGATATTCAGGGAAGAACTCGGAAGGGAATCGGTTTATTTCGAATAACGATCTTTGAACGTAAGCATATCGAAGCACCTCCAAGTGTATAGTAGGTAAAAAGAGTATTGGCACGCAATGTTACAAGGAAATTCACCTAATACGAACTTCTCAATTTCGATGAAACTCTATAAGTATGTATATCATAACAGATTATACGCGCTACAATTTTCTTGTTCACGTAACATCATTCTGAGCAGATGAAATCAGCAATCGAATTTTCAACGCTCCTTTCATCTTTCTTTAAATATAACTTTATAACAATACAAGATACAACAAAATTTTTTACGCGAAAAACATTTAATTTTTAATGCTTTATCACTCTATTGCGAAACAAATTCCTAAAAGGAATCATAATCAAAACACGAAAAAATACAGAAACTTTGAGATTTAGCTTCCTTTCAGCTTCCTTGTAGGGAAACAGATTTATCGTAAACTGTATGCAGACATTATAAAATATCTATTTTTAGTACCATCATTGTTGGTTTTATCCTGAATTAGTGGATGAACTTCCGCCTGATTTTATTTTTCCGTTGATTTCAATTAAATTCCAACTAAATATAAAAAAGAGAACTTATAATTATCTCCTAAACATTATTTAACGTTTTAATAAAATTTGTGGAATAATTTGAAACGGAGGACACAGGAAGATATACACAATTAAATAAAATACATATTTCTGGACCCATTCAAAAAATGATTTATTTCAACAAATTAATGACACGAAACGTGTGCTATTATTCAAATAGATTATAACTATACATTTTACGTGACACAATACAAGTTTTCCTAATTACATATCCAAATAGCATAGCATTACTGTATAATCGCTCAATAATTATTTCTGCGCTGTCTATTTTTGAGAAAAACAAAAATTAATTTTAAAAAATTCAATAATTTCAATCTAATAAATTTCCGCTATGAAAATTAACAAATCTAAAAAATTAAGAGATAGTCACGCAATAAAATATTATTTAATCACTAGTAAAAAATTACTTTTTAATTCAGTATTAATCTTCTGTGACCCCTTCGTCGTGCGTGCTATCGCATAAGGTATAAATCATTTAAAATAACAGACTCGGATCAAGCAAAAGCAAACAAACAAAAACACATGGTGCATCTGTCCTTGTGTCGTATCGAAAAGATTTGTAATTTATTAACAACTTATCTAATTCTTTTACCTCTTTTTTTATTTCTGATCACGTAACATGTTGCCACCACATCAGAACAATGTAATAACATCTACGTCATAATCGTTTATTGGAAGAAAATAAGAGAACGACAAAAGTTATCATGTTTATAATATGGACCGACAATAGTGATTCTTTAACCATTGCCAAGCTGATAAATCGGAATAGGAGAAACGTTTGCCATCGTCGTTGGGTTAACTGTACACGTCTGGATCAAGAAACTCTTGAAGGAATAGTTCGTGAGTTATTCATCCTGATTGAAATTCCGGACGTGCATCGATGATACCACGTTTGGTATCTTATATCATCGAGGATGTGAATCGGTTCGACGACGATCGTTATGCCGTTCACCTCGTGTCTTTTGTTGCGAATAAGTCGCGATGATGTAACCGGGTCGGGCATTTGCATTTTTCCATCAGCAACAGTGCTCCGCCATAACAAGGAACTATGGGAAAGATCCGTGCGAGTCATATTTTTATGCTAATGCTGCTTTTGATCCACCGAGCGATTCGTTTGGTCGGTGTAATTGGCAATTGAATGTTTTGAAGCTGTTGGTATTTAAGAATTTTGTTATTAGAACTGCAACTTGATTTGGAATCGTGTTCGAATCACAGAATTGGAATTGGAATTATGTTTAGAATTGGAATAGAATTGGGATTATGTTGGAATTATGTTTAGAAATATATCAAATTATGAAATAAATATATATATGAAATTGAAATTGTATTTGGAACTATAGAATTGAAACTTGGAATTTATTTAAAACTACAGAATTGTGATAGAAATTTACATTATATTTAGGACTGCAAAATTGTGATGGAAATTTATATTATATTTAGGACTACAGAATTGTGATGGAAATTTACACTATACGGAATAGAAATTGGAGTTATAGTTTTATCATAGGATTGGAAATGGAATTGAAGTTATATTTAGAACAATAAAATTGGAAATAGGTTTATTTATATTTTGAACTTGTGAGCCTTGATTGTATTATTTTAAGTGATCAGAAGCAAATAATTAATAAATAGAAATAATTAAAGAATGATGATAAATTAATGTAATTATTACCGACCTTCCGTGGATATTAAAGAATATCTACAAGATATTAAATAATATTTTTTGTAGATATTAAGATATTAATTTCACTGTTATTTAATGGTACTGTTACGTACCTTGCCACTGTACTATTATTTAATATAGGTGTATCGTAAGCAATGGTTCGTGATAATTGGATGTAAATGTACTCTTACTGGGTATAATATTTAGAGTAACTTTACGACTGTGTAAATAAAGAGTCTGTTATCAAATGGCTGCAAGTTGTCTGCTCGTATCATAGTATTTTACACTTGCAAATTGTTCTTGTAATCTTACCAAAGAAGATTTTGTAAGACATACTTTTTAAGACATACAGACTGCAATACATTATACCGTGCAATCGATATAAATTAAGATTTTTAATATCTATATTTTTAATATTGAAATGTCTTACTTTTAATTTTAAATATTCTGATTTAAAATGTTCAATTTTGAAATTTGAAATTTGTAAAATATTATAATAATTTCAATGCGTTTTAAAATGCAATTCGATGAATTTTAATCTGTCGAATTAATTCAATGGATTTAAATACGAATTAATAAGTATTATTTCAAATATTCGTTGATTAAATAATTGTATGCATTTGGAAGTTTACTTCAGCTCTTCTAAATTTCCAAGAATTATATTTATCCACATGACTTGTACATTATAAGGCATGCTATTTAATACTATTCATGTAATTCTACATAAACTGCCAAAACTTCGATTTTCTGAAGCTTTTGCAATACTAACCTTCATTAAACAAACTGTATACCTCATTTTCATTGCCATTGTAAATTAATTTTAAGATCCCGAAACATTTCCAAATTTATCCTACATTAAATCTTTTTAATTCCAACTTGCAATGTGTGTCTATTTAAACACAAATATAGCGTTGAAAATAAACAGGGAAATAAATATAACAAAAGTACGCATAAAATTATAGTAAAATTATAATAATTCCTATCTCAATAAAAATTAATAAATTCGGTAAAAAGCAGTTGTCCATTTTCAGTATGTCCAATTGAAGATACAAAAATTCTAAAATTAGTCAATTTTGTTAGCTCTAGTGTTAACCTCTTTGCGACCTCAGACATTTCGCTATCTACATTTATGCATTAGGCTATTCTAATACATACTCGCATATTCCAACCAAGACTTTTGTAAGGTCCCTGTATACTCGCTCACTGTTAGAACATTCGCTGTATTTTATTAACGAAACCTTTCATTTCTTCCATCACATATTTCATTTTAACGAAAACCTGTTTAGATAACAGACATAGACAACGCGTTGAAAAGGATACAGGAGTGTTGTCCGAACATCGTGTACGTGAGCCTGCTCGGCAATCCAGGATGTCCGGATCAGCTGACCAATCCGACGTTAACCGACGACGAGGATTACAATCGTTTCAGACTGTACGCGATATACATGTTACCTTCGACCTTACGGTTCCTCGATTCGCGTCCTGTAACGAGACAAGAGCGAAAGGACGCTGAGAGACGAGGAAAGTACTCGAGGACCGTGAAACCGATGCCGGATTTCTCGCCCAAATTCGTTTCCGACCCGATGGATGACTACGATGATATATTCTTCAACGTTCATTACACACCCTTGCCAAGGTCGATTCGCGATCCTCTTGATCACAAAGGTATGGTTTTGGTATTGTACATTTCATCTATGCTACATAACATCAAAATTTTCTATATTCTATCACATGTAATTATTATTGTTATTATTCTGTCTAAAAGAATTTGGCTTTGACACTTTTATCAGAAGTTGCTATATTCTATCATATTTTATTAATATTTCTTTCTTTCCAGGAGAATTATTTTAAAGGGGATATTAAACAATGATATCGTATAATAATGTTTAATTGGAATGAGTTTGTGTAAAGGAGGAATATCTACAGTACACGATAAAATGATAGCAAATGATAGCAAAATCTATGATTTTCAGTGTTCCTGGAGTAAAAAACAAATTGTTTGATTATAAATCAAATTTGATTTTACAAGGGAAAGTTAGCATTATTCAAACAGGATGATAAAGATATTGGAAAAAAATTATTATCTTTAGAAAAGTTTCGTAAAAATAGCAAAAATCGATATATTTTTATTCGTTTATTTTATAAGCCTATGATGATATGCAAGTAAATAAGTAAAATTTATGGAGAGAAATGTAAACTATGATTAATATTTTTCTGTATTATTAAAGACTGGGCACATCACACGAGTACATATGCAACATATGTCTATATTGCATTAGGTTGAAGAAACACTGACAACTATTATTTTGTCGCGTACTGTATTATGATTTAATCTTTCATCCAGACAAGAGATAAGTGCTTATCTTGTTAAATCAGTCGATTACATGTTTGAACATACTTGTGTTAGAATCACTATTAATATCAATATTTTGTCAAAATAACGTTACAAAATCAACTTCAAAATACATGTAAGTTATATCAGCACTAAATTGATCTAAACTGGTCAGAATGATCGTTTTCAATTTATCGAGTACAATATCATTGTTCAATTCCAGTTCACTATTTTTATACCCTATTTTATACCGTATATCTCATTATCAGAAGATTAAATATTTCCAAATTTTTACCCAAATTTACGTTTAATTACAAATCGAGTTAGAACTCAAACGATTTCTCAATGAAAATATTTTTCTGACACAGGAGCGTTCGGGAAGTGCAAGTACCGATATTCAGGGAAGAACTCGGAAGGGAATCGGTTTATTTCGAATAACGATCTTTGAACGTAAGCATATCGAAGCACCTCCAAGTGTATAGTAGGTAAAAAGAGTATTGGCACGCAATGTTACAAGGAAATTCACCTAATACGAACTTCTCAATTTCGATGAAACTCTATAAGTATGTATATCATAACAGATTATACGCGCTACAATTTTCTTGTTCACGTAACATCATTCTGAGCAGATGAAATCAGCAATCGAATTTTCAACGCTCCTTTCATCTTTCTTTAAATATAACTTTATAACAATACAAGATACAACAAAATTTTTTACGCGAAAAACATTTAATTTTTAATGCTTTATCACTCTATTGCGAAACAAATTCCTAAAAGGAATCATAATCAAAACACGAAAAAATACAGAAACTTTGAGATTTAGCTTCCTTTCAGCTTCCTTAACAAGATTAAGCCATAAAAATATCGCTGCATGTAGAATTTGTTATGCTGTACGAGTACACAAACTTCTGATAACATCTTGGCCTATGATATCGTGAGATTCATGGTAAGGAAATCGGTTCGAACGTAAATATTACGGGCAAGAGACGTGGATGTGATTCAACGTTAACAACACGAGATAAGTTCAGTCAGATTCGTGGTTAATTTTTTTCGATGTCTTCTTATCTCAGTTACGTGTTATTCTTCGCAGCGTTTGGACGAAATAGCTCAACGTGTCATCGACCTTGCTGCTAACTGTGGCACGCATCATCGAAACTTAAATTGTAAGGTAAGCGGTTAAAATGTAAACCTGGTTAGATGAATTTCCTTGCAATATAGCGTGCTAATGCCTCTTTCTAACCACTGTATGAGCGAATTTGCGATCATGTTCTTTCTCTCTATGACAAAAACAGCGATCAGGCTCGTAGAGTAATCTCTCGAATGGACGAAGATCTAAAGCACAAATCTCGATATCTTTCCCCTGGTACCAAAAATCTCATCTACGTGCCTGACAACGCGAAGGTTCGAATTTATCCGATAATTTTTCGCACATGCATGTACATCGAATGAAATATATAATTCGTTATGAGTAAACGTACAAAATTTTATTATCACGTACACTGATGAGTGGCATATAAATAATTGTCCGGAAGTTTCTGCTTCGTTCTGATCGATCGGACGATCCGATCCAAGTGTCACGCGATCCTCCGGACACTGTCGTCGAACGGAAGCGGAGAACACGGGCGTGAGGACACGCCGTGAATTCCTACACACCGTTTCGTATTCCTGTTGTCGACTATGTCGTCATAATTTAGCGTTATTGGTCCTTAAACGTACGCAACATAGTACTCGCAACAATACTTTCCACGCGCAACAAATTCGACTGTTATCGATAAACCGTGAACGAACACAGCGGACCCAAGCCTCCGTGCGGAGGGGTAGTCGACGAATTTGTTTGATAATAAATTTGCCAGACTGACAACGCGTTTACGAGAAGAACTTACGTCGAAGGCAGTTTAATAGTTTTCGATTGTTAACCCTGTATTTAGGAAGAACCTTACGGATAAGTACACGATCCTTGTTACGCTATACTTGCCTACATGCGATAACCGGAAACACGGTATTGTAACAATTAATTAAGTACCATTACGTCAGCCTTTCGATTCGTCCTGGATGTAATTAGTACTCGAACATTCCTACAAGGAAGCTTTGCGAATCAATGTCTCGTATGTTTCGAATCGTGCAAATCGAATACCTCGAATCTTGCAAATCGGATGTTTCGAATATTCGAATCGTCGAAGTTGAATATTTTCAATGTTCGAATCGCCGAAATCAAATATTTTGAATACTCAAGTCCTTGAAGTCGAATATCTCTAATATTCGAATCGCTGAAATGAAATATTTTGAATACTCGAGTCATTGAAATCGATTATTTCGAATCGTTGAATCAAATACTTCAAAATCAAATACCTCGAATCATCGAAACGGTATATATCGAATATTTAAATGACTATTTATCGAAGAATTTTGATTCGAAACACCGATTTCTATTTTATAGTTGACAACGATCGATCCAAAAGCCCCATGGCCTACATCGTATATTGTGTAACCCTACGTGATTGTATAAATATAACATTTATATGAATATATTTCTATGTAATGGGAACCGGTCATATTTAATTCCTTAAATACACCGTTCCATCGTTCTGGCAATGCTCAGCACGAGAAATCGAGTATTGTACACTCTGGAAGCATCTTTCTCTCCAAGAAAGGAAAGTGTCCACAATGCAAGCCACGTTCCAAACGCTGGAACCTTTTGTCCTTGTATTAAAAGTAAAGTAAAATATATCTCGTAAAATATATATATGTATCTCGTTCCTTCGTTTCGTTCCTCTGCAACTTAGAATCTCACAGTTGCATCGTACTACTGTAATCGACGAATACTTTTCGCGAATGCGCACGTTTGGAACGAGGCCTTGCTACCGAATTTATTTCCTACTTTCGCGAATAATAATGCTTGGCCACGAAGAATGTTCATGCATGATAAGATACGCAAATAGTCATCTCGCCTCGCGATTGGACGGATGCCCGTTTACAAAAGAAAAGAAATTCCTTTCTGCTATCACCTAAGACTGTTATAACACAACGAGGAGAACGAAGACACGTTCTTTCACGGTATTGCACGAATTTTGCGCGTCGAACTCCGTATGTCGATGTTCCGTTGATCATCTGGCTAGGACCTTCTTTGCTCTGCAAGAATAGTTAACACAGGAAAGGAGGAAGAACACGAACAAAAGAAGAAAAAATGTAAGAAGTGAAACACAAGAGTGTCGGTATCAAAGAAATCTGTACGAGAAAGGTAACGAGAGAGAACAAAGGAGGATATAATGGTGTAAAGAAAAATCAGTTGAAAAAAAAAAATCATATATCGTACGATCTTTCATACAGTAATCCAAAAAGGAAAGAAAAATATAACGCAATTCGAAACGGTATACCTACAGAGTAACGTGTCGAAAGCAAACGGAAACTACGGATTAAAGTTCTAATTATCGGCTATGATCATTTACAAAGTAAACTGGACGTAAGCACTAACTTCGGAACCAAGGCTCGATTTGCTTGGAACTCATCCGGAAGTCCCGAGGGCCAGTACCTCGCGACGGCCACTTCCCATACTCTCTGTCCTTGAGAATTTAGAGTCTAAGTCGTAGACTGTGCCCTATGAGCAGGATTCGCGTTCGCAATAGCCCCAAAGGCACTGATTCTTTTCTTTTCTTTTCTTTTTTTTTCTCTTTTTTTCTTTTTGTCTTCTCTCCTCGAAAGTCGCGTTTCGAAATTATTCGATGTGTGGTCCGCATGCACTGCCACTTATATACATGATACGTATGTATTTAAGTTAAACTAGGCCGAAGCGTTCCGAGCTTCGTTGAGACGGAGACCCATCAAGTCCACGAATGAACGTGTCACTTAAATACGAAAGAAATCACTGAGACAACGAGGGATGACTTAAGTGCTGTTTTTCCCATGGTTATGCAGATTTGGCCTCAAGGTCACGGCACCCTCTACCCAGAAGTTAGGCCTCTCGAGCATGCTCTGCCAGAGCGACAGCTCTCGACCGGTTGCATCCATCCAGTCTACTGGTTTCCCATAGTGTTTTCCTGTAGTTATTAAATCCATTTGGTTATTTATCTAGATCATTAGATCAACAAGCTTATTTTTTTACTACTGTAGTCGTAGATCAAGAATACGTAAATGTTATGGATTTTAATTCTAGTATGTTAATTTATGATATTAGTATTACATTATATTTAATGCTAAATAAACAAATAATATGGGTTTCAGTTTTAGTATATTAATTTATGACATTAAAATTGTATTGTATTTGATAATATATAAATAAATGATATTGGAATACTATATTAGAGTATCTGTGTTAGTAATGATTATATTATTGAGATAATTACATAATTAATTTTGATGTATATGGTTAAGAAAAATATTGAAAAAAGGAGTTTTTTTATAGGAAAAAGTCATGGTCGACTGAAAGTCATATTTTGAATGGGAAGCATGGTTAAAAATAGTAGAATGATTTTTATAGCAAGACGAGAAGCAAACAGACATTTATGATTGTCTTTATTACGCTATAAAACCATAAATAAATGTAAAGTCTTTAGTAGAATCGGAGTTCTATAGGGTGATTACCCTAATTCGACCATCTTCGATTCAAAAGTCGTATGATATAACAGAAAATAATAATTCAGTTTTTTCCATCTTGCTGTTGATATAGGAACATGAAATTTACCATAAATTTTCCAAATGATATAATCAAAATCATTTCATTCAAAAATTTTGTTTTAAAAATATTTTATATACTTCATGTACGCATTAAAAATATTTTCTTCAAAAATAAATCTGAATGAAGATTTTTGAAACGATGTAGTGTTTAAGCAATAAAATTATAATAAAGAGGTGAAAATAATTTGATTCATAGAGATTCGTACCTGTTCCAAGATTGAATCGGACTCCACCTAAAAATTCGTTGCTGGCAATGCGATCGTGGTCCCAGACTGTCAATTCCAGTCCACGTTCTGCCAATTCCTGCAGACTCACGTCTTTATAAATGAAAGTATGACCCCATACTGGTGAACCGCCAGACCTGCGAACTACTCCAGTCTTTTGTTTCCCTGAACGACCCTTGTCAGGCAGTAAGTAACTGAAAATACATATGCAACAATTAGTACAAACATTTATTTCATTCCAACTAAATTTTATGATTCGATTTGATGGTCTATTATTCGTGAAAAATTAAATGTGGACTTTACAATTACATTTGCAATTATATTTGATCTATATAAATTTAAAAAAACCCGGATTATAATTACTATACTGGTATTTTGTCAAAAAATATTATTTTTCTTTTCTTTTTGGTAAATATACTTTTTCCAAAATTCTACGTTAATACTACTCAATGTCAATGACTGAAAGAAATATTTCTTTTTGGGGTAGTTATCTAGATTATATAATTTCTTTTGAATTTTATACTATACTAATTTTCTCTTATTAGGAATATTTATCTACTACTAATAATTTTATAGAAATAAAGATATGTCATACTTACAATATTCATAATTAGAGGATTTTATGAACGGATAAAACAAAGAAATTTTAATTCTCATTTTAAATTTCTAACGTACACTATGATTATTTTAAATTCTATATTTATCCTTATTCAAAATTATAGGTATCTTGTTAACGATAGCTATAGTAACTGGCTATGTTCATTATGTTAATAACTTATCCTACTTTACCTTGATTTATTTCAATTCGTTAATGATACGAAGCATTTAAATTGGTACCTTTTACAGAACGGATCACACGTTCCTGAATTCTTCGCTCTGATTTGCAAATTTCTAGCTTCCTTCACGAGCACGTGCAACGCGCCGCGACTCCAGTTCTTCTTCGATTTAGAAGCACCACGATCTGATCCTATCTCTCGATCTCGTTCCTGCTGGGTAGGATCTGGCGGTACGAACTTCAAGCCGACGATCACCTCCCCTTTGTATGCAACAGGGTCGTCGAATGGTTCGGTCTAAAATATACGATTATCATAAGTCACAAATTTTGCTCGTACTAATTATTACAGCACTCGAAAGATATTTTTAGCGTTCAAAATTATTCCAACTATATTCAGTAATTTTTCCCAAAAATGATTTAATTCATCTTAATCCTCTGCGACCGAATGTCATCACATAAATGACTACACACTTTTATTTACTATCAGCAAGTCGAATATTTCTAAACAGTTGCTGTTTTCTAATAAAATTAGAATTACGTTGAAAAAAATATTTTTTATCCAACTAGAAAAATATTATATTTAACTTTAAGAAAGATACTCGAAGTGGCAATCTTATCTGAGCTTTCGAAATCAAGTCGCTTAATTCAAGAACGGGTCTTTGGTGTATCATACTGATTTATGTAACAGATATTTTAGTGAAACAATATTTTAAAAATTGTTACCATTTCGGGTATTCTAAAATTTCGAAGATAACATAATCGTATGAACTCAAGAAAAGAGTAACTCAGGTAGAACCAACTGACTAATTTAACCAGCTGTAGACATACCTATGTGTATATTTGAATAATAATTATTTAACAAAAATTATATACAAAAAATCATATCACTTGCCAATAAAAATTAGGAAACAAGGTAATCAATTCAAGATTTTTGTATATTCTTTATCTTTCGAGATAACGAATTTTCTCATAAACATTTTCAATCGTGCAATTTCTTTTTATTATAATCTATACTTGTTTGAAGATAAAGAATATAAAAAGATTGGAATATCGTTGCTTCGTTTCGCAACTTTTGTCAGTAAGTATAATATTGCAAACCGATGGAAACTAGCAACGATACTAATTCTCGTGCATGCAGATGCATCGCAGAACAGTGCAGTCATTACAATACGATCTATTCGTTTGGAACATCGCGTATTCCCTACGAAATTGCTTCTGTTGTTCATGCTGCTGCTCGTACTTGAATTCTCAGTACCCGAACATTCGAACTCGAATAATCGCCAACTAGTGTAACAGGTCGTGCAGTATTCCTTTCGTATCGCGAAGTGTGTCAGTTAACTTCATTAACGTAAATAGAAACAAATAAAAGAAGGCTCTAATTATGTACTGGAGAATAATTGAGTCTGTACGAAGACTTACTTTCTCCGGCCCGTTCTCGCCGCGGTTTTATATCTAGAACGATCTTTATTGTGCACGCTTGTTGGAAGAGATACAACGCGAGTCGTAAAATACAGCTGGATAATAAAAAAGAAGAGTAAAATTGAGGCATTAGCATGCTTCGAACCTAAGGAATTTCCAGTCGGCGGTGCCTTTGACTTTTTGTGAAACAGTTGGGTACAGATTAAATAATAACAGCGTGAAATAAAATTAATTAGGATAAAATTCAATTTTAAACAAGTTAAAATTGTTCACAAGTTGATGGACGATTTAATGATTGATTTGAATGTCGAAATTCTTTGTTGGAAAAGGAATGAAAAATTTTTTTGAGAGAAGGAGGGTTGTAAATGGTATACAAAACCATTTATGTCAATTTTTGTAACCTTTCAAATATTATAATAATGCGTTTTAATAGTTGAGAGCAAGATTTGCATCAGCGTAGAGTTAGTATTATAAAATGCGATGTATTTTCCGAATTATAATACAAGAAAAATTTAACAGATTTATACAAATGAATTGAAGATGATTGAGCTTTTCTTTCTTTCCTGAAAAGTCAAAATTCATTTTTCAAAGAACACTGTAACTTATAAAATTCTTTTGTCATGATAGCTTCTCACAGATAGGCATTTTTTAATTTCATACTTTATCGACAAAATGGCAATTTCAAAGTAATTTCACGTTAAAATTCCGAGACTCGTTCGATCAATGCAGACTAATTAGAAGTATCCTATTTCACACGGTCCTTAATAAAAGAAAACTAGTTAATACGCTCCACTTTTAAGCAAAATCAATGAAACGAATACCTTTTGAGAATCCTCCATTTCTCTTGCAAAATCTCATTTAACCTATTATGGCCCATAATTGCGTAAACGCAAGATTTTGCAATTTGATAATTAGAAGGCCAACAATTTTTTCATCCCATTTAAATCAGAAATGTATTATTAAAAGAAACAAACAATGCAATTCGCAATTTAAAAATCGTTTTATTTTTATCTCTGATCCTTAATAGGTTAAATATCCAATTCTCTTTATAAATATTCCTTCCTGATGACCGATAAATGCATGACAATTTGTTATCAGAGGTTAGACCCTTTGCGAAGAATCTAATCCAACAGTACTTAATTCTTCCACGCAACCTTAAGACGATTTTCCATTTACCTCACTAGCGCCACCACGGCTCGTATCTACAATAAATCGCAAATATCGTACATACGGTTGAATTATTTTCTACTTTTACTTATATAACCATGAAATTTTCTTTCTACTACGCGTGTCATATCGTTTGCACGATGTTGTTTTCACAAATTTTTCAGCCGTACACGTGTGATCGTACTCATGAAAGGATTAATGACCAACTGATTTCACCACTCGCCACGTACCTCTCCTATCGATACTAAAATATCTCTCGCGTTTATGCTTCGGGGCGCATTTGTGCTAGCCATGGTGAACTTACTCGTTCCTGAAGCGGGTACCACTTCGGCGTGGGATCGTCGAAGATTTTGTTCTCCAGGGGCATTCGCACCTCGCCGAGGAAATCGTTGCGTCCAAACATGTCTGAATGCCAAACCGTCAGCCACAGGGTTCTGGTCTCTAGGCCGCTCAGACTCATATGGAACTGAAATGTGGTGGCGAACCGTCCAAGCTCTAACTCTCATGCAGGGATAACGGAGGAACAGGCAGAATGTGCTCGGGGCTAATTGCGAATGGAAACCTTACCTTCAACGTCTCGTTAAACTCCGGATTCAGCGTGTGTTTCTTCACCTTTGTTTTCCGTTTTCCGCTCTTTGACTTGTCCGGTAGTAAGTACACTTTCACGTATCTGATGGGATAGTTCGTGTGAGAAAAGAGGCTCTCTTTTTAACCCTTAATTACTGATAGTTTCTGCCACTCATACGGACACTGAGATTATTATACTGAAGGTTATGAATGGTTCTGGTATTCTACTTTTGCAAGATTAATATTACAGCGATTGTTGTATAGACAGGGATGTAATTTAAACGAGAATGGGTTGTAAAATTCGCAGCTTGGTATTAGAAAGAAAAGAAGAGATGTCAACGGGAAGATATGCATCACGTAGAGTCTAACAGATTCTGTGTCAGCAGTTAAGGGTTAAATTGGAAACTGGTCTTTTGTGCCATACGTTAACTGTATATTGGGATCGTTTGATTGTTGATTCATATCCAATTCTGACTGATATTTATATTCTATATTTACGTTTCATTTGGTGTTGTGTTACTTGTTAATGTAACAAATTAACGCATTTATATTTTACACACTTGGGACTTTTCTACACGATGAATGAATACAGTGTCAAATAAAAAATCGCGTGGAAGAAGTGGTACAAGAAGACATAAGGTAATTGATTTGCAAATACTTCAAAGTACGAAATTCGTGTTACGTTAATGTAAAGGATAGGAGAATAATTTAAAATACAGGATTGAAGTTGATAGCAACATATTTGCATGTCTACCAGTTTCCTGGGTTTGAAGATAAAGATAAATAAAATGTGTTAAGAATACTGAACAAAATGTGTTAAAAAATTGTGTAAAAATGGGTAAAATGTGTTAACAAAAATCGTGTATATGTTAGTCGTGTGAACAAGTACCCCCAGTGTACTCTGCTATATTTTATTTTTACTTTACACTGTATTCATTTCTATTTAATATTCCATTTACATTTATTTATATTTTAAATAAAGCAATATTGATATCGTAGATTTATAATAATTATTCCAACATATTAATGAGATTTTTAAAACCTTAAAAAATTCAATATATACCGAACATACTTATTTTTAAAAAAATTATTTTACTTCAATATATATTGAACGTACTTATGATTCGGTAGTAATAAGAAATAAAATAAATTCAAAATATAGATCCCATTATACAGTTTCTTAAAACATTCCAACTTCTTACAATGACAATTCCTGTCAAGGACTAAAATCAAAGAGACTTTCGAGTTTAACGATCAAAGCATTGTTCAATGAATAATTCTCATTGTCTAATATACGTCTGTAAGAAAGAAATGTACTAACGTGTAGAAAGCTCCTACAAACTGGCAATAACTATTCGTAAGTAAGAAAATGATTAGTAGGTTTGGAAGATACACGTGATCAATGCGATTAATCTTACGAATCATTCTCATTCGATGAGTCACGTGTTACTTACGGATCGGATCGTTTGCGTTTTACATCAACAGGTGCTAGATTCTTGCATTTTGTTACGTGCACCTCGAATGTTAGGTGCTTGTAATCGTATTGTAAAGCGAATTCGACTTCTCCTGTGACGACCACCGAGCGACAGCACCGTCCTTCGCCAGCACCGCTATAAACCGACGCCATTGAATCCGAACGTGCCTGAAAAATTGATATCAGATATTTGTATTTATAGCCCGGGATACGAAGTATTTTTATAATGAGTCAAACACCGGGTAGGGCCCCAGGAAAATATTCCAGGTGCGATAATCAATGAACAACGAACAACGTGCAATGGTATTTTTCTTCGTGCAGGTTCTTGTTTCCAAGAATTATTTTTTGGTATCTTGTACACGAAAAAATACATTGTTTTATTTAACATTAACCACAGCACAGTCTAAATAACTGTCTTTAAATTTTGTGTCAAAAATTCTATATTCAGCACTTTTAAATTTTCCATTCTTTTTTCAATTATAAATTTGTCAGTATTTTCTGTTATTCTATTCTTTTAAACTTTTCTCCCTCATTTTCACCCATTTTTCCATTTAAAAGCCTTCTTACCAGTCGTGGCTTTAGTGTTAATACTGAAGTTACAGCATGTAATTTATATATATTAATTAAATATGATGTACATTTATATAATGATAGTAATTGACACTAGAATTACTGAAGAGACTGAAAGGATTTGTTTGGGATACTTTATTCTTACAGATTGTGAAAACGCGTACCTGCTTTTGATAAAATTAATGTTCACTTTTATTCGAGTTATTAGCCTTACCTTGTACCACGATAATTATTACTTGTGTATTATAGGTTGTGTTAAATGTGGTATACAATAATCATAATTGAAGCGTGATAGTGACAATAATTAGGCATGTATATCATATAATTACGTTTCTATGTCAGTAGCGGGTATAACGTAGTTATTAGCAATTCAAAATATGCAACTGAAGAACAAGTGAACATTAATTTTACCAAAAGCAATGCATTCTTCAATAATTGCAGTAGCTGAGAATAAGTAATTGAAATTTAAATAACAAAGAACAAAAAGTTTGAAATTAGGTATTTTGACTCATTTGTTAGTTCCACCATTAAAAAGAATAAAAATATTCTTAACACTAGGTTATTAAATTACTAAATAACCGATTCCTGAATTTTCTGCTATATCAAAAAGGCCTCATATTTGTGAATTTGGTACATTTCCAATGTTTCTTCTGGAACAACACTGCCCTAGCCAAAAAAGGGATGATTTTTTCGTCAAATACATTTCATACTTACTCCAAGACTCGACAAAGACGCACGTGTAGCAAGGTGTCCAGAATGTAGTCCGGAATCCATGTCATCTACGTCGATCACTGTGTGACTAGAGCCTGCTCGTGATCCTGCGCCGATGATCGGAGTACTGCATGCTTCTGACAAGCTACTTCCATCATCTGTAAGATAAAAAGCAGGAACATTATGATTAAACACGTCATTCGTCAGGAAATCAAACAATTTTTATCACGTTAAGGTATTTAAGCAATGCTTCAAATTTTTCTTGATACGAAAAGCAAACTAGAGGATCAAACAATAATTCGGTACTATCATTTTGTAAAAGACACAATTCCACGAGTAACAATTTCAAATCGAAGAACCGAAAATTATATATATAAAAACGAAAACGAATCTGTAATTCATGTAACTTTTATTTAATATCTATCTAACCCTCCAAGACTGAAAGCTTCTGTAGCTATCCAACATCTTTAGAATTTAGGAAAAATTTAAAGAAATTAAAAATAATCCCTCAAAAATGAAAGATAATCTTTAGAAAAGTATAAATTTGAAGTGTGGAAGCAAAAACACGACGAGACCGACTTGTTCCATCCTCAGAGCTATTATCAGAGTTTCTCTGCTGGCTCGTTTTCCGGACCAGGCACTTGGGGAACAGTTCGGAGTACGAGGACAAGCTCTTCTGCTCGTCTGGCTTCCTGAGACGACACTTGGAGAATATATCTGGCAGGGAAGATTCGCCATCGCTTTCAAAAACCTTCGTCTCGTTACGACCGTTTTTTTTGTTTGTCTTGGAAAGCATAGGCAAGCTGCGTTTGATGCCAAGCAGAGTAGTGTTGGACACGAAGGTCCTATCGTCAGAACCCACGGAGCTGATCGTTATCGTGCTCTTCTCTAGCTCCCTCGACCTTTCGCAATTACTCTTCTCCAACAGCGTACAGCCATCATCGATATTCGTTGAGTCTTCGTTCTTTGTTAGGGTGTCATTCGACGCTATGCGCTTCATCTCCACCTGACCCTTCGTTCCCAAATCGTCGTTTCGTTGGATCTTCTCGTTCGACGATTCCTCCACCACGCGATCCTCTCTTCTACCTGCAGGATAGCACGGAATAGTACAGCAGGTAAGGAACAAGTTGGTTGTCATTCGTTGCGCTATGCTTCTCACGGTCGAGGACCGATTTGGCGCGTTGAAAGTCGTGTAGCCGGTACCCTTCGTCATTTTCACGCGCGATTTTCACGTTACGTGGATTTTCAGACACGTTGAGAACTTCTCTAATGGGGATCTGTTTCTTGTTACACTTTCTTTCGCTTCGAGCAACGAGTGGAAGCTAGTCGCTGTCAATCTGCTAGCTTTGGACTTAGGAAACTTCTTGGAATAAGCAAGTGTTTTAAGTAATTAATTCTTTCAGACATTCATTTCTTGGAATAGCTTCTTTTGCACAGAGAATAAATAGAAATTCACTGGTTTAATTGTTGTTTTTGGACAGGTTGAAAGTTTCTTCACAATATTTCTTTTCTGGTTCGAGGAGCGAATAGAATATTGCTAATTTTACTTTGACAACGAGCTATATAAATGAGTAGATTTTCTGATGGTAGGTGTCTTGGAAATATTTTTCCAAAACGTTGAGGATTTTTCTATTAGAAAACTTGATCCTGCTTGAAGAAACAAAAGCTTGTTGGTGTTGATGTCACTTTGATAGGTTTAGATTGAGGGGACTCTTTGATACAGAAAGTATCTTAGAGACACGTTGGGAACTTCTTCTCGAGTGATCACTTCGCTCCTTGCAACATGTTTCTTTTGTTGCGAGGAACAGGTGGAAGCTCGATGGTTTCACCTCGATAGCCCCGGAGTTTCACTTCAATGTGTTTTACGAATATTTTCTAGACACACTGGTAGCTTTTCCACTGGAACTTTGTCTCCCCTGACACTCGAGAACCAATGGGAGATCGGGACTTCAATTTGACAATTCTGGCCTAAGGAGATTCATTCCTTGACACGGATATGTGATCTAGAAATAATTTCTACTCGAGATAGTCTTCTTCTTCTCCTTTCACACTTTCCACACTTCTATTTCGAATCACACAAGTGGAAGCTTCCTAGTGTCGTCTTGACAGCTAAGAGCATGTCAGATCGAGTTCTTCCTGCTTTATGAAAGAATTAGAAGCTCACCGATTTCACTCCGATCACTCAAGTCTGTACTTCTTGGTACAATGTGTTGAAAAATTCATTTCCCGTCTTAAATAAATAATTCAACGCTCATTCTAGTTTATCGAGAGTTAAAAGGAAGCAGGATCCTGTTGGTTAGTGGGAGTGCGATTAGAGTCGTATATTAAGATCGTTTCCAATGTTGAGGTTGGCTGTGTTCCAGGCGACGTCGTTTTCGATCACCAGGCGAATCGAGGGATGAAATTCGGAATTTCTGCCGCGGCTTCCCGATTAACCCTTTGACAATTCACGCTACGTGCTGGCACAAGATGCAAACCGAGGCAAAACGTTTCCGATACTGGCGAGTTCGTTTGTGCCATGGTCGTTTCTGATAATGCGGCGAGGGGAACAGGCACGACGATAAAACTGATTTTTGCTTCCTGTCTTCCGGCTTCAATGCGTAGGGGCTTTCACGTTCAAGGTTCTGACTCCATGGAATTACGATAAGGGATAACATTCGAATTATACTTATAAAGTTCCTGCCTAAGAGACATCGCGTGAGTGATTGAATTTTATTGTTCTTGGAGAACATTCTGTGGAATTTTTGTCATTCATCAGGTACCCACAGGTTAGAGCGGTTTACGCTATTTCTTGAATTTTTGTTTGAACTTTGTTAGAACTTTGTATTTAAAATATAATTATATCGTTTATTTGGTGTAGTTATGTTTTGTTGATTTGGTAATTGGAGAGTTTATATGCAATGGGATTGATGATGGTTATGTTTTATTTGTAAGTAATGGAGAAAATTATATTATAATTATATTGCAAATATGTTGAATGATAGAATGACAAAAGCTGGTGGTCCTCATTATTTACAGCGTTTTTCTACAGAAAAAGTTGTAATAGTGCAATAAGTATGTAAAGAAGTAACATTTGATTATATCTGTTTAAGCAGATAAGATGGAAGTAATATGTATAAATATTGTGCACGAATTTAAATAAAATAAAATTGTTTTTTAATTTATTTTAACTTCAGAGAAATAGCTAGAAAGCTAAGAGTGAAGTGTAATTTATATCAAGATTTGTAATTATTCCATGACATGTTTTAGTAAAATCAGTAATTCAGTAAAAAAAATTTGCTTGAGAAGGCAAATGATAAATTATCAAATTAATAGTATAAAATTGAATATAAATTCGAAATATTGGTATTTTAATTTTTTCATACAATTCTATTTTTCAGTCATACATAATTTATGTATACGACATTAATTATCAGCATATGGGATCAGTTTAATGATATTAAAATTAGCAAGATAAAAATTGACAATAACGGGATAATGTTGCGAATAATCGCTCATAGGATTATAGACACTTTTATTATCATGTTCATATTTCAGATGCAATTTCTATGAGTAACAAAGAGAAATGTGTGTCAAGGTGACTGTTTCCAGGAACTTCAGCTGAGAAAAATGACTTTCATAATTCGTGTATCTTATGCTACAGATGTTAATGTATTAAAAATCGCTATTAAATATGTACTATCATTTTATGTGTTATAACCTACTTAAAATTTATTGTTTATTTTCTTTTTAAAAGCAAAAGTAAGCATTATGATATTCTACTGGCTTAGACTATAAGTAATTAAATGTTAATCATTAGATATCTTAGATTTTGCAAAGTAATATATGATCAATTTTATGTATTTTTACAAATAGTAGCATGTTGCACGACTTTTTTGATATGGATAATAGTAATAAAAATGATTATATGCAAATTGAAATAAAATATCATGTTCTGAATAGTTTTTTATGTACATTATATCTATATATAATAATATTTTATGGATTATTATTACTTCAAATAATTAAATAATTTTGAATGAAATGTTTGCTGCAAAAATTTTAATACTTGAAGCTTCTAAAAAATTTATCGATTTAAAATCACCAGAACAGCTCTAAAAATAGATTAAATAGCCTTAGGTGTTATCGATAAGAGTGCAATAAATGAATAACAGATAAGATACATACGAATAATATTTAAGAAATTATAGCAGTCGGATGAATATTTATTAGACTTTTTATTTTTCACTATTCTAATAATTCAAATAAAACATTCTTCATTTCCTTTTAATTCCTGAATTATTTCCTACACGTATTACAGCACATAAATTATTATTTATAACATTGTTACTTGTATTACTGTTTATTTCTTTCCTTCTTATATATTTAATATTAATATTTATATTTTAAACACTATTTTAGTATATTGCATTTATTTACTAATTACTTTACTTTCACTAGTTTTATCCTTTATGCATTCATTTTCCCAACAATAACATCGTCAAATTATTTTTTCATTCAAACTAATCAATACTCAGAAACACAATATCCAAATAAAAATGAAATAAAAATCCGTACCACTTCTTCTAATTTAAACCATACTTAAAGACCTCAAATCTACGCCGTAAGAATCCATGAAAAACTACAACCAGATACAAAATAGGAAAAATCCTCAGAAAAAAGAAAGCAAGGAAGAGGAAAGATTGGAAAAAATTATTCTTCCAAAATTCCCCACCACATTGTTCTCTTTTTCATACACGCATAGCAACCTAACCCAAACCATAAGAATCCAAACTATAATCGGAAACAAAATAGAAAGAATCACCACACAAAAAAGAAAAACTGGAAAAGTACCATTCATTCAAAATTTCCCACCATGTTGTACTCTTTTCCATGCACGCATAGCGGCAAAAGGCACACACGTTCTATTTCCATCTGACAAGGAGAGTGGCAAGTCCATCGGGTCACCGATTTGGTTCAAATTTTACAGGTTTATACATCTTGTCATGCAGTTTAAGAAAATATACGATTATAGGAGCAATTACTCAATAGTTTTTGAGATATTTATGATTAAAATTTTATTGCTCACTTAATTACATTTTTATTTTAACTACCTTCTAATTAGAGTTGTAGCCTCATGGCGATAGTTGAGAATTTCTTTACTCGAGGACCGGGGTTC